TGTTTACAGTTTTTTCCAATTGCTAACACACTAAAATGACATGCACAGCACAATTATTTAAACTGACACACAGAGAGCAAAACTTCTTCTCAAGTCTCCAAAAGTCTAAACACATTTTCTGCTTTACACACATTTTGCATTTCAAAATGGCACTTTTTAAATGCACTGAACACAGTTCTCTGCATAAGACACAACAATCTGACATAAAGTCACATGTTTGCCATTTCAAAACACTGCCATTCAAAATGACACTACATGAGCTACTTGGCCAATTACATGTGCCACCTGGCCAAACACCTCAATGGTTAATTGTTAACACTTCAATCAGGATGTAAGCACTGTGAAAAGACCACAGGTGAGAACCTTTTTTTTACAACCACAATGGAAGACATTGCAGAGAGAGGAAGAGGAAGAGGGAGGTTGAGAATAAGAGGGGGAGGAAGAGTGAGAGGTAGGGGTAGAGCAGGTAGAGGAGTTCATGGCCAAAGAAGACAAACACTTTCAAATGAAATCAGAGCAACCTTAGTAGATCATGTCATCAACCATGGGCTGACAATGCGTGAGGCTGGACAGCGAGTGCAGCCAAACTTGAGCCGTTTTACTGTCGCCTCTGTCATCCGGACCTTTAGACTGGAGAACAGGTATGTAACCAAAATTTCATGTAGTACACATGTAGTATACCCCATGTCATAGTGTATCTGTTGGGTGACACCTGTTTACATAGTGTATGACATCAGCCATTCATGAACTGTACAAGTTTCCTGTACAATGTACTCTACTGTGGGGGAAAATATTTAGGCTGCATTGTCCAAGCCCTATATATATTTTTATTTTATTTTTTCTGAAGGACTGAGAGACGACACCATGGTGGAGGAAGGGGCCAAATGTTCACCGGGGTACAGGAAGCTGCCATTGTAAACTTGGTTTTGGAAAATAATGAAATCAGATTACGAGAAATTCAAAGCCACATCATCCAAGACAACACCTTATTCAACAACATTCAACGAGTCAGTCTGTCCACATTGGCTCGCATTCTCAAGCGAAACCAAATCAGAATGAAACAACTTTATAAGGTGCCGTTTGAGAGAAACTCTCAAAGAAACAAAGAGTTCAGACGAGCATATGTGGATGTAAGTACTATATTGACTGCAGTACACTACACGCAACATTGTTTCCCAGTGTACTGGATAACACCATATTGACTGATTTTTGTTCTTTGTTTTCAGGGAGTACTGGAAATGGATGCTCATGCAATCCCACATGAGTTCATCTTTATAGATGAGGCTGGGTTCAACCTAGCAAAGACCAGAAGAAGGGGGAGAAACGTCATTGGCCACAGAGCCATTATAGATGTTCCTGGCCAACGTGGTGGGAACATCACAATGTGCGCTGCCATCTCCAGTATGCATGGTGTCCTCCACCGTCATGCCAACCTTGGACCATACAACACAGCCCATATTCTCACATTTCTGGACAGACTTCAAAACATTCTCATACCACCAGAGCGTATGAATGATGCAGACCATCAAAGAAACCGGTACGTTGTAGTATGGGACAACGTGAGCTTTCATCGTGCAGCCCCAGTCCAAAACTGGTTTGCTGACCACCCAACATTTCTTGTGCAATACCTCCCACCATACTCACCATTTCTGAACCCCATAGAAGAGTTCTTTTCGGCATGGCGGTGGAAGGTATACGACCGGCAGCCCTTTGTGCGCATGCCTCTTGTGCAGGCCATGGAAGAGGCATGTGATGAGATTGATGTGGGTGCAATTCAGGGATGGATAAGGCACTCAAGGCGCTTCTTCCCTCGATGTCTGGCAAGGGAAGATATTGCCTGTGATGTTGACGAGGCGTTGTGGCCAGACCCGGCTGTGCGGCAAGATGCTGCCTAATTATTTTTCTTGCCTCTTTGTTTTACTGTAATATATTTTTTCTGAAATTTTCTTTTTCAGTTTACTGTTTTTTGTAAGAATATTTTTGTTCAGTCCCATGTAAATATATCTGCTGTGCATATGTTGCACTGACTTGTTGACTGTAGTGAAAACAAATAAATAAATGTTGCAACAGCATGTGTGTGTGTATCTGCAAATATTTCTGTGCATGTGAACAATCTGATACATATTTTAGTATTATGGCAAAGCATACTAAAGATGGGGGTGCTTTTCATTATGCCCAACAGTGTGTAGTTGGTTAGGCAAAAATCTGGTAATATGAATGAAGTGTGTGCCATTTCATGCAAAAGTTTGCTTTTGATAATGCTATGTGTAGTTTCGGTTGCAGTGCTTCATTTTGCAGGATATATGAGGTATTTTGCAGTTTGGGTGTGTGGTTTTGTGAATTGTGTTAAGTTTTTTGATAAAACCAGACTAGTTTGAAAAATTGTGTGTTAGCAATTGGAAAAAACTGTATTATCATCATCATCATCATAATGGTACAATACTTATTATATATACATAAGACGAAGACACTTAGGCATTAGTTAAAATAGAATATTATATATTTATTATATAAAGTTATTTATTTATTTTTAATATATATTTCCTTTTAGAATTAATAAGTTTGTGTGTGTGTGTGTGTGTATACACAAACAAATGAATTCTAAAAGGAAATATATATTGTACATGAATGAAGCAAAGCAAATATGTTCATGTCTGAGATTAATTTTAGCATTTATATAGAATAACTAAACTATAGCTTAACTTTAGTGAGGGGACATTCCTCTTAGCATCATGAAAAAAAAAACGAAAAAAAAAAAACCCTTTTATTAAAATTCTGAATGCATTACAGATAGCCTAGAATACATGCAAAGAGTGCTGCATTTATCATTTCAGTTGCACTGAGCCTGTCACTCATCTCAGTTCACCGGTTTAACAGACGTGTCTGTGATTGGCTGCACTGCTCAATGCTGCAAACTTTGTAAATAGAAACATGTTTACATCATATGCACAGAAGAGTTTGCCAAATATGTTATTATTACAGTTTCAACTAATGCGCTCTTGTTTGTTTTTGTGTTTGTGAGAGTGTGTAGCTCCCTAAACTGGGCGTGACACGATAAACTGCTTTCCATATGGATTCAATATGTAATGTTACTTAAATACGGGAACAGTTGGCAATCCTACTTTGCATGTTTTAAACACTTAGATGATGTTCTTACTTTGGCCATGCATTAAATGCACGTCCTTGAAAGAGCGCAGTTTGCTGACGTATTTACAGTAACTTCTCAGGTAATGTCCTATGGAGGACCAAACCTGCAGACATTAAAAACGAATAAATATATAGATAAATAAATAAATAAAATGACCGGAACATAAATAAAGGAATAAATGGCTTGATAAAAACAAATATAGTTCATTTGTAATTTCCCTTTATGTATTATATTATTTTATGTATTTCTTTTTGCATTTGTTTTAATTTAATTTATTTATGTATGTATTTATTATTTTTTATTCCCACGTGTATTTATTTCCAGATTTATTTATTAATTTATTTCTTCTTACTTTTCCGTGTGCAAATGAGGGAACACAGCTCCAGTGAATCATTGGTTGAGAGCTCACGCAGAAGGTCAGATAGATATATATATACAGTACATATAACAAGATTACACTCTTCTAACACCACAACTGAGACAGCTGGACTGTTGATATGCTATAAAAGGTATAAATAAATCTGCTAACTGCTTCTGAAATGGCTTCTGAAAATTCAGATTCACATAACAGGAATAAATAACATTTTCCAATATATTCAAATAGGAAATATTTAAAATTGTAATGATATTTAACAATATTACTGTTTTTTTTCTGTTTGTCCTATTGTAAGCAATTGTGTAATTTAAGCACAAGTGAGCTGAAAATGTGTCCCACTTTACTGATTGTAGTCACAAATTATCATAAAAAAATTAAATGTGTAGAATAAAATATTTACTTGTCATTTTTAAATCTTTGTATTTAACAGCAAAAACATAGTTGGGGATACAAGAGACCTGGAACATTAATATTCAAAACATTATTATTAATCAGATGTAATTAATTAACTCACTGTTTACCACTGTTGATATTTAAAGAAACTCACAATTTAAAGGAAAAAAAAATGCAAGATGTTAAATCGAAATTTCAAGATATTAACTATAAAGGAATTGTGAGAAGTCAGAATTGTGATAAAGTCTTAAAGACCTTTTATTAAATAGGCTACCTTAATTTTTTTATGCCAAGGCAAAAACTTCCACTACTTTACTTTAGGAAAATAATCCTGCTAGTGTCCTCTCTGTGTCATTTCTACATCTACCTCCACTAGGTGTTTTCTGTTTCTGTATAATTCCACTTAAAATGACCCAAACATACAGGGCCTTTATTATAAAGACAATTCTTTGACAGAATGGTTAATTTGGTTAATTGGCTTGGCAAAGCTTTAGCATTTCTTATATTTTTAAAATAATTTTCAATAGTGAGGATGTTAATTCCAGATATCTATACTGATTTGATATTTTTTGCCAGTCAAAAAGCTGAATGCAGACAAGTACAAATAAAGTATTTCCTAGCCAAAAACCAAATATAGAGATATCCATAATTAAATCGCAGATATCTGCGATTTGACAAAGAAGAATTCCAATATGTTATGTATTATGAAACTGTAACTAGTCCGAAATCCAGTTCAAGATATCTAGAGTTATGCTGTTGTGACTCTATGAGTTGTAATAGTTTCAACAGAAGTGTGTACTCAGAGAGAATGTGATGCTGGACCTGGCCAGTGGGCTTGGAGTGAATTCCTGAAATACTGCCTTTAAACAAGCTGAAGATATTTTCATAGTTTTGACATTTATAAGCCATTTCATGTCAGATTTGAAATGTGAAAAATGTGAGTGTGGCAAGCAGCTTTTCGAGATAATAGACAGCAGTTGGTCTTGGATAACTGAAAGTGAATTTGACCGACCGCTGTAGAGAGATGGTGTAGTCAGAGCTGCAGGTCCAGATGCTCGGAGCCGGACCAAGATCATATAACACACCGTCAGAAATGAGGACAAATCCTCAGGAGCAATCGATGCAGTCTAGAAAACAGAATCACTGAAGCACGTTCTGCAAAGTGTTTACCATGCATCTTTAAAATAAGTTTACATGCATCCTAATGCTGTTCTTATGTGTATGATTATCAGTGTGAAATTGTAGAATAGAAAACAGAATCACTGAAGCACGTTCTGCAAAGTGTTTACCATGCATCTTTAAAATAAGTTTACATGCATCCTAATGCTGTTCTTATGAGTATGATTATCAGTGTGAAATTGTAAAATCTTGTGTAGAAATCACTCAGCTACAATCAAACTTGATCTGTTTCATTCTCAAGTGTAATATCCACACTTCTCTTTCTCTTGTATCTAATGCCACAATACCCCACTATACGTGAAAATACTTATTTAAATTACTTACCGGTACTTGATGTATTAATTTCATTCTTTGTTCTTCTGTGTCACAGGATATCTCAGTCTAAACCCACATAACATGTTCAAGGGTGCTTCCTATGAAAAAAGTTGCACGCATAGAATTGACAGGCTGCAGCTCCCTCTAGTGGACGAGTAGGCCTACAGGATTTTACAGATTTTATTCACATAGATTTATAGTTGTGTAGAGAGCCTACAGTCTACAGCAACTCACCTGCTGCCTCTGTAAAGGTGATCTGAAAACGTTTAGCTCCTCTCCTCAGGTGGCAGGTGCTAAACTATCGCAGCACTTGCTCTGATGATCAGAGGGATATATAGGCTACAGGAGAAAAACATAGTGTCACAGTTACTTTGCTGATTTGATGAATTCCACACCTTTCTGGACTGTGGCACATTAGGTTGAGCTTTTTAGATATATATATCGTGTGGTTATATGTGTGTGCATGCCAAAACCTTAAACTATAAAAGTGCTGCTTTATCCCACTATCACGTGCAGGTGGTGTGGGTCAAAACAAAACGAAAAATGAAATTCATTATTTAATTAATAGCAATTTAATGATATTTTAAGTTATGGAATGTTCTAGTTTTAAATGTGCATTTATGTAAATGCTTCTTTCAACAAAAACTGTAATATGTGTTCATGAATTGTTGATTTAAAAATGATTGATTTTCTTTTAGGAACTTTAAAACAGTAATTTGAAATCGTTATTACAGATGAAATCTAGCTGGCACAAGTACTTAGTGTATGTTGCCTGGCTGTGTTCAGTGTTTTACTCCTAGTCATTTTATCATCTTTTATTGTGTCTGATCAGTTCTGGTCATTTTGGTGTAGTGTGTTTATCATGCCTTGTGTGTGTGTGAGAGAGAGAGTGCCTGCTTGAATACATGGTTTGAGGACACAAGTGTGTATAATGACATGAGTACTACAACATAAACATGGTTTATGAGGACATGTGTCTCCGTAAACCAAATGGCCTAAAAAACATACTAAACTGTGGTTTTTAAAATTCCCCATGCAATTTGAAAACCTGTGTGTGTGTGTGTGTGTGTGTGTGTGTGTGTGTGTGTGTGTCATCTGTTGAAGACAGATCAAACAGCGCTCCCCTCTGGAAATAAGAATAAATCGCATCACATGATGTAAAACGCTGAATAGGAGATGTTTTGCATGACTGCAGTCATTCTGTGTGATCAAACATAAGTCCTGATTGTGTGCATCTCTCGCCAAACAGATTTGAAATCAGGTGTCTTTAATCAGTGCTTTGGTTTTATGCATGTTTGTTATGTTGTTAGCAACCATAGTTTTCTTACTTTAGTGGATTAAATTAATAATATTTTTGGTTTTAATGTAATAGGTGTGTTCCTGTGCATGTACTTTGCACAGATTTTCAGTTTTTAGTTCAAATCAACTCTTATGATTGATTAATCAGTGTGTGCGTGAATGTGTGCATAACTCAAACTCTGAATGAGTGTTTTTCAAGTTCTCGTTGTGGGTCTGTGCTTGTAGGTGGAGTTAGAGCGCAGCTGGTCTCTCATTGGCTGGAGTGGATGAAGAGGTTGTGTCTCACACAGCAGGGATGGAGCGATCATCCTCATGCAGAGGGTGGAGTGAGGAGCTGCTGGAAAACTGTGCCTTTCAGTCCGAGACATTTCACAATCAATAAAGGGCTGCGTCCGTCCCTGATCAGAGCCTGGGGTTGAGCTTCACGCGCTGCGCAGCGACACTCAGAGTCCATCATGAAGGTGAGTGTTCGCCCATTAATCAAGCGCATGTGGACGCAGCATCCCTTCAGCATCACACATTCAGAAAGGGCTGCGAAGAACTGATGTTGGAAGTACTGACTGCTAGTTTTGTAGCTTTCACAAGAGAGAATGCACAGAATGATGTACATGATCCAAACGGCTCAACTGATTTATTTCTCAAATCAAGTAGTCAAGCAGCTGGCTGTGCTGTTCGGAG